ACTAAAAAGGGCATTCCATGAGCCTCGGGACTTTTTGCCCTGACCGTCAGATTAAAAAAAATGTAGTTTTTTTCAATTAAATTTTTTTTTATCATATAACTTTTAGTCCTTTAATGCGATATAACAATTATTGTAATCTCGAATATCTCGAGAACGGTTAATTTTATCGAAGTTTGAGAGGTACACCTTTTTAATAGTAGCCGAACTGAGTAATCGAAAAATTGCATGAAATGGTATAAAAACCTAACCTCAAAGTTTGTATGGGACAATAAGATTAAGCAACCCCTGTTTCTACGACACTGTGTTCACTCAAACAATTGTAATTATGTGTGAATATGTGTTTTGGTAGTAAGTGACTGTTCGCAAAATATCACCTTTCCAAGTCTACCATAGTAGACGTTATATTAAAAAAACTGGTATGATAAGTAACACTTTATCACCCTGTATCTTTTAAACATACGTAATTAGGAAAAATATTTATTTAGATTTTCGTCTTATTTTGACTTGCTTAATCTGCTCCTAAATTTATGCCACTAAGTTTAGGGACACCTTTAGTAATCAATCTAAATACTTTAAAAGCGTGGCTATATAAGTATATTTTTTATTTTTATTTTAATACAACTAATTAGACATTTATAGAAAGTGTTAAAAAAACAGCTGTCTGCCAAAGGCACTGCGAACCCGACTAATTAATAATCAAAATTGAAATGCAGCCAAAGATTTGTGTCAATGAGTGTATTTAAATATTGTTTCCACTCCTACCTTTAAAACGCAATGGGCGTGCATGTTTCCATCACACTAAGTGACATTTTAAATACACATTGACAAGTTGTGGCTGTATGGCATTTTAGTCACAGGCTGAAGTTAGCTTTAAGTTATTTGACAGTTGTCAAATGTCATACAATCGTTAAAATAAAGTGTCCTTCTTGTAAAATAATACTAAATGTGAAAATGATCTGATTATCTCAATACAAAAATACAAAAGCATTAAATAGTCTCTCGACGCCAATATTTGAGAAGTTTACATTACGGCAGTAAACTAGATATAACTTAAATTCGGGCTCGGACTACACCGTGAAGTGCTCATAAAACATTTTCTTCCCTTTCACTGTGATAAACTGTTGTTAATCCATTTTCAAGGGATACATTTCGATTTATAACACATACAAATTTGACATTTGACGGTAATACAGATTCCCTTATTGTTTAATAGATTTCGCTGTATACAAATATTTAATTTAAATCATTTTTAGATAATAATAAGTATTTGTCATAGAAAAAGTAGTATGCAACTCGTTTATAAACTTTCTTATGGCCACTTGCACCGTAACTTTAACAGTGGTTTAAGTTTTAACACAGGTTTATTTTTCATAACTGGCTTGCACTGTCAATTAATACTTATTTAAATACCTCCAAACTACTGTTTAAATAAACCTCCAATTTCGTGGGTTTGAATTCCTTTAATCCACCGTTAAAGTTTTTTAACCTCAAAGTACTAGCTATTGGTATTTAAGATCTTTATTTCAATTTTAGTTTTCTTCTGAAAATGGATATTTTGCCAGACATATATCTGGAAGATAATTTGGATTTCTTAGATATAGTCGACATGGGTTTTCCCAGAGTATCTACAACAGAGCTGACCACCTTCACAATATGAATGAGCTTTCTTTTTTTAAATGATTTCGACTTTTAAAACCAACTCTAGTTAATATTTTAGAGTTACTTGAGGAGGATTCCAAATTTCCTCATGATTTGTAAGTATAAGTATACAGTGTGTATTAAAATGAATAAATACACTTAAATAAAACAAGTGCCAAACCCCGCCCACTAACACAAAAAGTGAGGTTAGGCAACCAAGAAAACGCTCGATTTCTACGATTTAAATTATCTTTAAGTTTTAATTTGCTTTAAGTTTTCAGTGAAATTAAATGTTAAACATTCCAAACTATCTATTTTTTAAATAAAAATCCAAACAAATTAAAATTAGATACCTACCTATTTATTAAACAATTAATTGATTTAGCTAATAAATCAATGAGATTCTAAAAAAGTGAGGTTAGGCCGCTGTTGCCATATGCTATTATTGTTTCCTAAAAGGGTTGTTTTTCTTATTTTTTAATATTAAAAGTAATAAAATTAACTAAATAATTATAATCGTTCTCTTCTGATTTAAAACAACCTGGCAACTATGGTTCGTAATTACGATGGCTTAATAAACATATTATTAATTTTTTTGTTATTTTTAAAGTTTCAAACAAATAAAATTTATTAAATAATTATAATCGTTCTCTTCTGATTTAAAACAACCTGGCAACTATGGTTCGTAATTACGAATGGCTTTAAACCACGCCCAATTAAAGTTTGTTTCTTTTTCTCTGATCAGAATATAATTTGTCATCCTTGTCTCCAGCCTTACTTACTTGATTCTATATACCTTTATTTGCCATTACTGTAACATATTTTGCAGAAACAATAGTGTCACCAATTAATCAGCTTCTAACCACACTAAGATTTTACGCTTGTCGGACATTTAACAGAAGTTGGTAATTTTATGGGTGTGCATTATGTTTTAAAATCAATTAATACAAGATTATTTTGCGATTTTATAAAATATATTGTGAATAATTTTTTTGATGTTTAATTAAATTTAAACTCTTTTTCAGGCTTCTTCTTTTTATTCTTAATTTCCTGCTCTAATTGTTTTTTGGACATATTTGCTAGTACTAAACGAATGTCGAGCAGTTAATTGTACTTTTCAGATATCTCCAAAGATGTAAGTACTTTTACTTGCACATTTGGTCGGCGTCTATTAGATTAAAGCCTTTTTCTTTTGGAGTTGGGCTGAACATTTCTTTAGATTTTGATGATAGCATGGAGATTTTTTAGCCTTTAGCTCTTTATCACTACGGACATCTCCACCACATAAGGAATTTAATCCAAAGACTGTTTATTGGATGGTTATTGACAGAAGGACATCATCAAATGAATCAAAATTTAATGGGTGGTCCACCCAGTTTTTTATGTTAATTTTTTGGTCAGCAACCTTTTGTCGTAATTATTTCTTTTTATTTTCATATAACCTTTTTTAATTAAATTCCATGGCAATTTCTCTTTGTTTACAATGATACCTTGCTACACAAGATTAATTAAATAATTTTTTTCATTTTATGAAATATTTGAGGATCGAGCCCTCTTTTTTCCAGGTTCTGTATCCATATTATTCTCTCTTACGATCAACTGAATCGGTCATACACGAAAGAGAATCGAAGTCTTAACGTCAAAATATATTTGCGTCACAAATAATTGTAAAGTTAGTTATTAACACCAATCTTTTCCATTTTTTATTCAAATTCCCTAGATCCCTAGTTAAAGTTTAAACCATATGGAAAAAATCACGGTGCAAGATTTTGGACACTAATCCCCTGTTACCTTTTAACTTGGAAGCTAATTTAACTGATCAGTTAGAGACTTATTAATTAAATTAAATTCTTGACTAAAATAGCATTTTTAATGGAACGTGTGTTATTTTTTTACTTGTATCTAAATACAGTATTTAATAAATTTCAGCTTATTTTGTTGATCCTAGAACTATTATCAGGAATATTTATGATGAAGGCTTTGAAATAATTATAAAATAATCCAAAATTAATTTTAGGAATATTCCCATGAGATGCCGTAAAAGATTCATCAAATTGATCTAGAAATGTTCCTAAATTAAAGAATATTTCTGTATACATGCCTAGGAACTTCCACGGAGCGCACATTTTAATATTTCGGGGAATATTTTTAGGAATATTTTAGGAGTTTTAGAATATTCCTGAACAGTAGCGTGCAAAGGTGATCGGGGGCCCCCCCGCAAATTTTAAGCTGGGGCCCCTTTGTCACTTATACCACCCAATGTGGTTCTCTACGGGGCCCCCCTAAGGTCGGGGGCCCCCCTGCACCGCGGGCCCTGCGGGGCCCGTCCTGCACGCCACTGTTCCTGAAATAACATAGGAATGCTACTTTGCGGTCTGGTAATAAGTACATTTTTTTATTAAAACCATACAGACAGTATGTCTTTATAAACAAATAAAATATTCAATATTAAATATATAACAAATTTTAAATAATACCTGTAGAATTATTCAAAATTTTTTATTAAAAAATAATTTGATAATTGCGACTTTGATTTTAAATAAAAAAAATTAAACCAACATAATATATTATATAGAAAACTAATAATAAATAAATTCGATGTGTTCAATTTTAACCAGTTAACTGTATATAATAATTATTTTAATCAGCCATTCTACGTTACTCGGCAATTTTTGTAGCGTCCGTAATAATCAAAAATTGTGAGTAAAAGCTATCGTAATTAAATTAAATACTTAGTATCGCAATAGTTACTATTGCAATAAACATGTTTGCAATATTGCAAACATGTTTATTATGCTTAAGCTTAATAATTACAGTATATTTACTCACAGTTTTTTATTATTGGGTCATTCCACGTTACTCGGGGATTTTTGTCCCGCCCGTCACAATTAAAAATTGTGAGTAAAAACTACACGTTATAAAATTTATTTTAAAATATTGTTTATTATGCTTTTAATAAGTTAAAAGCACAATAAAAATAATATTATAAAATATTAATTTAATAACTTGTGGTTTTTACTCACAATTTTTTATTGTGACGGGCGGGACAAAAATTACCGAGTAACGTGGAATGCCCCTATTACGGACGAAAATTGCCGAGTAACGTGGAATGGCTGTTTCTCTGTGTGCGGAGAAAAAGAAATTAAGCTCAGAAGCACGCCCTTATTTAGTGAGAAAACAGCGCGCTGTTGTATTTTATAAAGCAAAGGGGTTACTCCCTTACATTGTTTGTTCTTTTATTAGTATTGATAATAATAATGATATATTATACTACACATTCACATAATATTTTATTATGTATTGAACAATTTGTATTAATTTATTCCATTATAATAAATTAAATAGAGCATTTAAATAGTATTATTTATTTTACCCAAAATTTAAATACATTCTTGGCATTGGCACTGTCTAAACAAAATATTTTATTCGGCAATAATTATAATATATAATAAACAAATACAATTCTTATATAACAAAGTCTTAAAACAAATAAACAAAAAAAACGCCGCGATATGTACGTTTCAAACGTTTTATTAAGATCACAACACTTAAAAAAAGTACTGATTTTGTTGGCACTATACAATATGGTCACTTTTTATCGTCAAGCTTGGCTTTATCCAACGACGAAGTCACTAGCATAGGTTGGCCTTGTTGAGTATTCTGATTAGGAAATACTTTGTCAAGGTGTTTAAGCGATTCGCTCAGAAAGTTTTGAATAGCCGTCAGTGCTGCCACTATCGCAGGACTTCCAAATCCATGACTTATGAGCGAAAAGTGAGTAAGGTGTCTTTGAATAGAAGGATCCAATAGAATTTGGGGTCGTGTGTTGCATAAAGGCGAGCGATCTTGGTTAAGTAAGTCCATTAACTCCTTGGTTATTTGTTTGGTTGCCTGGAGTTGTTCCTTTCGCCTTGGTGTTTCACCATTTTGACGAAGAAAATATTCGGCTACCTAAAATAAAAGAAAACATATTTAATTAAGAATACCGAAATTGAATTATATGCGATATAATATTTTAAATTCCGTATAACACAAATCTGCACAATAAGCAACTAGTAAAATGGTTATACTTTTGCACAACCATGATTAATTGCATTGTTGCAATCAATAATTACGTAAGAAATAGTATATTACACTACAAGGGCCGAAAGTTGAATTTTCGGCCCTGCGCGTCATGATGCCCCAAGGCGAAGCAGAGCAAAAGTAAAAAATTATAATCTTATTTAATTCTAAATAGCCTATTGCAATATTATCTAAAAACGTAGGTAGTATTTTTCTTTCTCAGTCAGTTAGTTTTGTGAAATAAATTAGAGGTGTCAGGAACTGTAGTGATTAATATTGTGCACATTAATTATTGTTTTAAATTGAAAATAAGTGGATTATTGCTCTGCGCATCAATGATAGCTAATAAAATATTGTGTGCGACAATTGGTCAAAAGAGGATATTCCACTCGCGTGTTACCGCACTCTCACGCTCCAGGAATCCCCTCTTCTCCCACTAGTCGCACAATAACTATTAATAAGTGTAAGAAAAAAAACAATTTTTCATGTTTAGTTTCTAAAATGTATTTTTGTTTTATATTTAAGTATATACTTATAAATTCTTAAGCGCCAGGCAAAGAAAAACCTAAAAAATAGCTTTGTGTTTGGTTTGGATTTTTGTTGAAGTGTTATTAATATTAATTATTACCTGTATTAATGAGTAGGTATTAGGAAAAAATAAATTTTTCATGTTTAGTCTCCAAAATGTATTATATTTTTATATAATAAACAGTTTCTATGAAAATATTTTTTGCCTTTTTTGATCCATAAAAGAAGTCAAATATACGTCAATTTTAAACATCGCAGGTACGTTTTGCACTACGACTAAGATAAGGCACTATAATGACGTAATTATGATGTTACATATGCACGTTTCGTCTTTCAAAGACGTCAACACGTTATTAAAATGACTAAAATCCGTCGTCTTTGGGACGTCTTTCTGTTTGCTGGGATGTGATGTGGAATGACTTTTTAGCTTAATCTGTATGTCTTATGTGACTCAAGTCGAGTAATAAAGGAAGCGAAGTTGTCATTCTTAACTTTTCTCTTCAATACTGCCTAATTTTTTAGAATCAATTAAAACCTAAAAATCTATTTTTTGTAGTTAATGAGATTTTTTACATCATATAAATATGTTTAAAATTAAAAAGGCCTTTAACATAAAAAAATAACCAATAGGAGTCAGAAATAGTTGTCTTAACGCCAGCAAAACAATTTTATTATGTTAACCTAATAAAATTGTTTTGCTAAAATTTTACACATACCTGTCTCGCTGGAAACTCTGTTTCGCAAACGTATCCGAAATCCCTGGCAAGATGTATGGCTTCTCCTTCGACTAGCGAAGTTAATAAAGTTACATTGGCTGCCTTTCTGCGCCCTGCTGGTAAATTAAGTCCAATTTTTTCAAGCTTCTCGCGTAATATTCTTCCCCCGTTTTTGCTTTTAGCTCTGCGCAGCACACCTCCCAAGAGTGAAGCATTTAAGCATTCTGGGGGTGACAGCCGTCTCTGCACTTCGCCAACAGTAACTTTGTACTTTGAGGTAGAGGAGAGCAGTGATAACCGACCTGGCACCGAACAAAACACGTCACTAGGTGAAACCATTGCTCCACCTCCATGTTCTTTTCCTCCTTTAATACCTGAAGCAAAAATAACGTATTTCATAATTTCATAAACTCCCATAAACAAGAAGGTAAATTCATCCAAATCCTAAATTGTTGTGGTTTCATCAATTTTCAATGTATTATATACCTAATATGTCACCAAATCAAATTAAGATAATAAGCTGGATTCATTAAAATATTGTTTGTTATTTTTAATAAGGGGAAATATAGTGCACAGATGTCAACCACGCCTTTAAACAATCCAACAAAAAATGGGCTGTTTGACAATTACCCCCCATTAAGCAAATATCAAAGGGGGTTCAAAATTTAGTAGCGTGGAACCAACTGTGAACGGCCAGCCCACTTATGAAATACAAAATAATAATAACGAATTGTTACAAAAAATTTTAGGTTTTATCTTATTTTCCCATAGCTATGCATAGGTAAGTTTAATTCCTATTAAAGGCAAATCAAAAATTGTAAATTAATTATAAATAAAGAATAATTCTAAAGTAAAGTAAAAAATATTTATTATAATTAAAACCAAACTATTTTTAACCGCTGCTTTAAAATCTGACATTAACTTAAAAAAATTGATCTAAACTTAAAAAAATTGATCTAAACCATTATACCAATTGTTAATGCACTAGCTATAAAAAATTTAAGTTTAAGCAATTTGATTATACTAGTTTTACACTAGCGTCTACGTCCCAACTGGAACTTCGGTGCCCTGGCGCTATTGCCTGTCAATATGCAATTGTGGAAAATTTAAATATCCCGCCATTAAAAATTACTCTTTTAAATAAATTCTTTTAGCCAGAAAATAATATTAATTAAAATTAATATAATTAGGAAATTTATTATAAATCAATGATTGCTTTATTAAGCATAGGTATTAGGGTGTTTCAAAAAAATCGACTTTTTCTTTTTCTTCAAATGGTCAGCAAATTCTTTTAGAGGATGTCAAAACAAAGACCTCGTTAAAATTTGAGCTTTTAATTTGAAGATTTAGAGGTCGCGGATCGCAATTTTCTATTTCCCATTTAAATAACAGGAAATTTTTTTTTTAACTTTGGAATTTTATACGTCTATATCGAATCAACTTATGGCAAGGACCATCTTAGATTTTTATAGTAAATTTAACGCTCTATAAGAAATTTTTCTTATAATTTTTCTATAAATTGATTTCTTTCAGAGTTATTCTAGGCCAAAGTTTGATTTCCATCGAATTTTCTCGTTTTTTCAACTGCTAAACATCATGTAGTAAAAAAATCACATATTTATATCTGAAACATAGGAAGTGTTCGTAAAAAACAAAAAAACAAAAAAACGTCACTTTTTTCCAAAGCCTACTACAAAGTTTTAATGAAAATATGAGATGTGTATAATATGCAGAGTAATTTATATATAAATGCATTTTTCTCGAAAATGGTGCATCTGAGCAATTCAAATCAAGAGTACCTATTTTTCGTAAAAAACTATAAATTATCATAATTTCATAAAAAAAATTAAATTATTAACCCAGAAAAACTTTTCCCCCTCCAAATGTTACGCCTATGATTAAATTTTAACAGTTTTGATCGTAGATCTAGATTTAGCATGTCAAAATTACCAAAGTACCGAAAATTCATTTGTTTATGTTCAACCCTCTAGGAATAGTTTAAAAAAAAGTATCCTCTTAGGCTCCTATTCAGGGGGCCGTAGCTTCTTTAGGGAGCATTTTTTGATACATGTTTATTAAACAAAAAAAGTGTTATTTTTATACGAATAATGCACTGTTTAAGTTTGGCCCCCTAATTTCGGGACACCCGTATAATGATAATTGTACCATATATGTTAAAAAAACGCGAAAATTCGATGTAAATCAAACTTTGGCCTCGAATAACTCTGGAAGGAATCAATTTATAGAAAAATGATAGGAGACCTTTTTTGTAGAGCGTTAAATTTACTATAAAAATCTAAGATGATCCTTAACATAAGTTGATTCGATTCAGACGTATAAAATTTCAAAGTTAAAAAAAAAAATTTCCTATGTTATTTAAATGGGAAATAGAAAATTGCGATCCGCGACCTCTAAATCTTCAAATTAAATGCTCAAATTTTGACGAGGTCTTTGTGTTGACATCCTCTGAAAGAATTTGCCGACCATTTGAAGAAAAAGAAAAAGTCGATTTTTTTGAAACACCCTAATAGATTATAATATATTATAATATATTATATATATTATATACATAACAAATAAAAATATATTATATACATAACAAATAAAATAATATAATATAAATGTTAATATTTTTATTTAATAAATTTAAGTTTTTTTAATTAAATTAATTTAACCAAATATTTGGTGGCAGCTTGAACTTGACTATGATATAGTAAAATAATTAAATTCTATCATAAACCAATAATTAAATTATATAATAAACCAATTCAGCTTAATACCTACATTTAATTAATTAATTATAATTTTGTTTTCATTAAGTAATCTTTGGTAAAAGTAAAAAATAATAAGTAAAAACAACTGAACTATAAATTTATAAAAATTGTTATGTAGTAATAAAAACTACTAATGTAAAAAATAATATTTTAATAAATGTATAATTGTATTTTTATTTTACATTAATAAATTAATAGCAATAGTCTCTTGCTCTTTCTCATTAGGTTTCTGAAATAATCTTCTTAATTATTGGTTTATGATAAAATTTAATTATTTTTACTATATCATAGACAAGTTCAAGCTGCCACCAAATATTAGGTTAAATTAATTAAATAAAAATATCAACATTTATCTATTATATTTTTTATGTATATAATATAATATATAATATTATATATATTATATACCTATGCTTAATAAAAAACAATCATTGATTTATAATAAATTTCCTAATTATATTAATTTTAATTAATATTATTTTCTGGCTAAAAGAATCTGTAATTTTTAATGGCGAGATATTTAAATTTTCCACACAATTGCATATTGACAGGCAACAGCGCCAGGGCACCGAAGTTGCAGTTGGGACGTAGACGCTAGTATACTTTACAGCACCTACATACACACACACATACATTTGATTGTGATTTTATGAAAATATTGAAGAAAAGATAATTTTGGTATTTAGTTTAAAAGTCTTACCTATTTAGAAACACTTATATTTTTAATAGTCTTTTAAGTTAAAATAAAGTTTTATCAACACCCCTAATATCTAATAAAAAATGTGCAACTACTTACTTTTTAATAAAGGTAAATCTGTAATAAACCCTGTGTTATCATCTATTCCACCTTGTGCTTCCTCCACTGCTTGACCTAAAGCCTGGTGAAGGGATAAGGAATCATCGTGTCTTTGAGGTCCTACCCCATATTCTGGTCTCCCGCTACCTGCAGTTGTACTATAAGGGAAACTGGTACCATGACCCAATTGGCCCTTAAATAAAATAAAAATATATAAATTTAGTATGACAATAATTTATATGTTTAATTTTAATATGGCAGGTAATAACAATAGCAATAAACTTTTTTAATAAAACATTTTAATGTTGCCATATTTTTATGTTAGTAGATATTTATTTTCTGTTTTGGCAAGATTAATTTTATTGGGGAAACAAGTAATACAAAATCCTGACATATTTGTATAGTCTTGACATAGTTGTTACTTCAAGAAGGCAGAAAATATTTGACCTAGAATTCGGATAATTTTGTCCCAGAATTTAATCTTAACCAGATTATTCGTCTAACTCCCCGATTTACGCTACCCTTACACATATTTCCATTCCCTTCTATTTAAAGCAATAAAAAAAAATATTTTAGGTCATTAATTTAGTATAATATTAGGAAATAAAGACAATACATTATGTGGGAGAAATAATGAATTCCCTGATTGGTTATTTCTTTCTGAAGTTAGCTTTAAGTTAAAATTAGAAAAAAGTGAATAATATAAAATTGGCTTTAAATTTCTTGCGGTAGTTGAATAAAATATTGTGTGCGACTATTGGTTAAAAGATTTAGATAGATATTCCACTCGGGGAATCTCCTTTTTCTCCCACTAGTCGCAAAATATACAATCGTTACTAATTTTATATTTTTTTAATTTTAAACCTTAATATTAATTTAAATATTGTTCATGTTTGATTGGGTTTCTTTAGAATTAATGTAAATATTACTTACATAATTCTCTAAAACATGTTTAAGGAAGAAACTATTTCTAAATTTTAATGTAGGTAGGCACTGAATTTAATCTGCTAACAATTTCAGTTTTTTTAGCTGCGAGGTGTTTTTAGTCCTAATGAACAGCCATAGTAACGCCAAATAAAAAATTTAGGAAATTTTATTTTTTCCCTTAATTTAATGTTTACCTAACATTATAATGTTTAAATAAAATATTTACTTTATAATAAAGATACTTATAAACAAGAGTCGGAAGTTTTTGAAAGTTAAGAAATAGATACAGAGTGTCCCAAAAATGACACTCCATACCTACTACGCGATAGAGGGGGATATTTTAGACATAAACAAAATTTGTTCGGCAAGTAGTTTTTAGTAAAGAAGCAAGTTTTAAAAGGTTTGTTTCCCTTAGGCTGTTATGTTGCTTTTAGACGCTCAAGCAATTTTCGCAAATTGATTTTTGCATGCAAATTTGCGCAAATAAATAAGTCGTTGTATTCCCGTTAAAAAGTTAGGTTTTTGATGAAAAATATTAAAAATAGTAATGGAAATTAATGAAAAATATTGATGAATACTTCTACTTGCCACAGCTGCGGTTTTAACTTAAATTAAAGAGAAAAAAAACAAGAATATGAGCTAAACCCTAATTGATAAAAAGAAATTTGTTTTCTCACGTCAATTTAATAACTATAAATTAGACTAAACAAATAAATATAATATAATATAACCTTAAAAAGCACATGTGTTGTCGGCAAACTTGGGCAAACTGCTTGTACCATCGTTTACACGCTCATGCAACTACACCAGCCTCATGCAAATTATCTGACAAAATTTATTTTACTCAAGCCATACTTTTTAGCTTTTGCAAGTTTCATGCTTCTGTTTATACGTATAACGATTTACTTGTGCAAAGTGACTTGCACCAGCCAATTGGCGCAAATTGCATGAGCGCGCTTAATATCACACATCTATTGACGGTTGTAATGGAATCAAAATAAACTAGGATTCTGTAGTAAGATGAAATTAACATTGTTAACATGTATTTTTTGAAAGTTTTTGCACAGATTCCAAAGGGTTGTGTTAAACTCGAATTTATGGTTAAAAAAAATACCAAAAAGTGTCTTAAAAATCGAAGATATTTGAATCCCACTTTCATTATGGGCTTTTTGGTAGGATAAAGGTTATTATAAATTATTTTTAGACTTTGGAATTTAGAAAAAAAAGTTTCAGGTGCTTCTTTATGGACCCTAAGAAACAACCCATTTTAATATATAACATTAATTACATAACACCCTGTATATATATATATATATATATATATATATACATTTCAATAAGCTTATAGCTTATATATATATATATATATATAAATATAAGTAAATATAGCTCATTCCATGTATATTATACATATTAGGGTGCTTTTTTTTCACGACTATTTTTATTTTTTCGCTCCCAACTCAAAATCTTGTTGAGAATGTTCCCAAAAAAATTCCCTGAAAATTTGAGCCCTTAATATTAACTCAAAGTAATCTACCAAAGTATACAGATTTCCCTTTTAAAATACACGTAAACTTTGATTATTTTTTTTTTTAATATTTCAGCCGCATTTTATGCTACTGGATTGATTCAAAAAGGGATTTACTCGTAATCAAAAGTTCTACAAAAATGCTTTATGTGCCATAGCTGTAATCTGCACCTGTAGGATGGTACGGGTCACTAAATCTTATTTTAGTGAAAAATTCTCATATTTTTGAAGATATTTCAAAATTGACTGGATTCTTTAAAAAAATGTAAAGGACAAACTTGTAGAAAATTTAATTTTCTTTAAAAAAGGTTTTATCAGTTGAATCGCTAAGATTGATATTTGTTGAGATATAAAGTATTTACATTGACATTTTATGAAATTTTCAGGATTTTCGTACCAAACTTTTTATAAATGATGATTTTTAATTGTTTATCAGTATAATTACATGTAATTACGTTTTTTCTACAGTCGGATGATTAGAGAAAAATAAATAACTAAAACAATCAAGCATAATTATTAATAAAATAACATGTATGTAATACACCTCGTTATATGACAACGCGCTCGCCTGTTCGTTTCTTTCTCCTCTAAAATTATGATTATGATAAATTAGAATAATGTCCTTATAGATTAATTAAAGAGTGATCTATAATTACACTGGTTTACAGCCAAAATGTACATTCGATGCCACTTTTTTTAATGTATTTTGGACTACTTAAATCAAAATCACAATATTTACAATAAAATTTACCTTTTTGCTAAGAAAAAATACAAATCATCGAAATACACTTTTGCATAGAAAACAAGGTATTTACGAAATCTATGGATAAATACCAATGTTATGAAGTGGCAAAATTAAACTTTTTGTTTTAGTTTGGACTGTAAATATATTGTTATCTTCGTAAAAGTGCTCTATGTAACTCTATGTAATAATTCAAATATTTCAATGATTTTTATTTATTCTTAGACAAAAAGTAAATGTGCATTATTATCTTTGTCCAAAGAAGAAATTTCATTCAATATTTGAGCATTAAATAGATACTGATTGGACATTAAGAGAGTAAAATTTGTCGGCCATTCGATTATGTTTAATTTAACATCTTATGCAACCAGATTGGCCGTTTCTAACTCGAAATATGACCCAAATAGTAAAGCTAAAGCTAAAAAAATGTATTGTAATTTTCGAGTTAAGCATGCCAATATGCATTAGAAAAAAATTGTGGCACCGAATATCTTCCCTTTTCTCGGAGCGCCACTTATTATGCCTTTATATTTTAAAAGACAAAAAACAAATCAATTAAAGTTATCATACATTTAAAGAAAACAATAATATACAATTTAAAGCAATCACAGGTGCAACGTCAAATTATGGCAGGTTCCTAATTACGATTGATTTGTTTTCCTTTGTTTTCTTCTTACTTTTACAAAGTTTAAAAATGTTAGCACTTTATTTATTTCTGTAAAAAAAGTACAAGGGGTAAACGAATAAATGAATGTCACTAAGGTAATTTTCAGTTTCCAATTTTAATGTTTAAGCGCGAAAAAAATTAAAATTAATATGAACTTGGGTCCAAAATAGTAGTTTTGATATTACATTAGATTTTTTTTGTATTGGCATCAAATAAAGTAACAAATAGTGTAATTTAGAAATTGACGCCCATAACTTCTACAGCGGAATCGCCCTAGAACTACTTTTTAGAACAAAAATGATACTTTTTTAATACTTAAAATTAGCCCCTATCGCGTGATATGGAGTTAGTGTGCCATTTTCAGGAAAAAATGTATAACGAAAATGATTTTTTTTAACATAAAAGGTATCTGTGGACCCCAGTTAATTTTTTGAGTAGAGCTTTTATGCAATATTGTAAACCATATAGAGATGGACGATTTTTTAACTGTGAGTACATATAACGATTGTACTTAGACAAAAAAACGTGATCTACGATTTTTCACTTAAACTTTTAAGTAGGAAAAAAGCAAAAATGTTTATTGGAAACCATATTGAGTGATATGGTGTTAATGTGCCATTTTCGGGACAACCTGTATAACGAAAAATATTTTTTATTAAATAAAAGGTATCTGTAGACCACAGTTAATTTTTTAAGTAGAGTTTTTGAGCAATTTCGTAAACCACATAGAGATTGAGGATTTTTTAACATATACATATAACGATTGTACTTTTGATAAAAAAAAGTCATCTACGATTTTTTACGTAAACTTTTGAGTAGAAAAAAATCAAAAATGTTTATTGGAACAAATTAAAAACCATGGACTAAGACCACGGAAACTAACATCATATCCAGGGCCGGCGCAAGCAAACCTGCCGCCCTAGGCAAAAATCTATGCCATATTTTTTTATAATTTACATAAACTGCATAATCATATATTATATCACGAGAACTATGAATTTAATCGGGTAAACTAGGCTCAGTAGTTTTTTGTTTGGTTTTTGTTGGAAAATGTTGAATGCAAAATAATTTAATAAAATCACGAGACCGCGTAGCGGTCGAGGGGTTTTATTTTTAATTATTTTGCATGAAACTATTTTCCAAAAAAAAAAAATCGAATAAAAAACTTACTGAGCATAGTTTGACAGATTAAATTTATAGGTTGAGTGATATACGTCTAGATTATTTCTCGAATTAAAGGAAACTATTTGACCATTCATAAAACCTGACGTATGTGTCAAAGTTTATAAATATTTTTTTAAAGAAAATTCCATTAATTTAAGGTAGGTATGTAATAAGTAATAATTGATATTTCGTAAACTAGATAACTTATTTTTATTGTTTTTTAAAAAATGTTTGTTAAAACTTGTAAATAACACCATAAAATCGTAAACAAAAATCCAATATAGAGGCTAAAATTTAATCGCTGTTAAAAAGGTCTAGTGGTTTAATCGCTTATTTAAACGAAATTTATTCGAAAATTCAAGGTTTTGATTGGTTCATATTATATTGAGGGAAATAATCTTAGTAAAATATATTTTAGGACAAATCAGGGCTAGTAATGAAAAAATATAATAAAAGTTTTTTAGTTTCGAAAATATCAGTTAATTTAAATAAATAAATAAAGATGCGTGAAACTTAACAATTACTATATTAGTTACCTATTGTATTACAAATTTACATTTTATTTTTTTTTCGCTTTCAACTTGAAAATCAGATACAAGTTTAGTTAGACCAGTTTGAGAAATATATTTCTCTATTGATAAGGTTGCAAGTCCTACAAGTCTATATTGTTTTGTTGTCGATCTAATAGAATTTTAGTAATTTTTGTTTCGAAAAAGTACGATCGCCACCGGCTACCGACACAGGAAGCGTCAACAAAATTTGCAATACTGATATTAAATTGGGCAAAATCTCTTTAAGTTTGTGCTCACACAAAAAATTTAAAACTTTTTACGGTGTAGCCTTTGCGTCTAACATCACTTGCAGCTTATCACAGAGTTCCGTAGCATCAATATCTTTGGAATTATTATATTTTAAGATTTCTTTTAGTTTGAGACAATGATTTAAAATACTCTATTGTATCGTATTGTATAGGCTCATCCTCAGCCTCGTAGTGAAATTGCGTTTTCTTTTTTATTAAAAGGTTTCCAATTGAAATAACTCGGGAATATTTAATTCATCGCAAATTTCTTCAATAAAGAATATTTATACATAACCTCCGTGTAAATTCAATAAGAAGTGTTTAAATTTTTTATCATCTTAAATTCTCTTAACTAGTAGCTTGGTCGCAACCAATTTTTATTTATTTTTATATTTCAACCCAAATAATTTTTTCCGCTCCCTGATTTTGCAGCCCCCTGACTTTGCGGCCCTAGGTTTTTGCCTAGTTTGCCTATCATATCAAAACTTGAGAAAAGAATATCAGTGTAATTTAAAACTAACAGTTCCGTTCATATCTAGACTCTAGAGTCTAAAGCGAAAGCCTAGTTATTATTATTTCAAACACAACCTTCCAAAAAATTATTTTATTTTTTAAATTATCAATTGAAAATCTGCAAGATTTGCCAGTTAAGTAAAATCAGCAAGATTTGTTAGATAATCTGCAAAACCTTCCACAATGTTATTCTTAAACTTTTATTTAACACATACCACATGAGTATGATTTGGTTCTCCATCGCGGGGCCTGAGTCCTAGTTGGTTATAATGATGCAGTGTCGAAATGCCTCCATAGGGATCAGTGAGGTAGTCTAGGTGTTGTTGTGGTGGTGGACTGGGTGGGTGGTGAAACGGAGGTGGAAAGTAAGGCGGTTGAAAGTCAGGTTGAGGCAATTGATGCTGCATAGCGGCTGAAGCGTGGTGCAAACCGCCAGAGCCCCGGTGATGGGGGCCGGATCCACCGGCGCCGTATCCAGGACTGCTGCCACTGAGAGCCAACGACCCGTGACCACTTGCAGTAAGACGCTCCTAGAAAAAAAGTTATACATAAATTTTTGCCCCACTGTAATTTCCTCTTTTTATTGTTATATTTTTGGGTGAGGTTTTTATTATTATTATTTTTATATGTGTTTCTGAATTAAATTTACAATTGAAATATGTACATTATTGACTCTTTAGGTTTATGTAAATCTTTTAATAAAAAAAATACTTTTTGTTAAAAAAAACATTTTGAGAAAATCATTTAAATTGGTAGAGTAAAAAAAATATCAAGGGAAAAATTTATTTGGTCCCGTTTCTGATATTACTTTGGGACTAATAATTTGAAATATTATAAATTATTTTTTGCATAATTAAATGAAATTTCCATTAAATCTTCCAATGATTTATCCACTTTTACTTTTACTAATTATTACAAACTTAGTTAAAACAGTAATATACAGTACAGTATGGTAATTGTCTACATTTACCATTAAACAAGTTTTATTTTTTAATAAATTATCCAAAACATACAGGTAATAATCCTTTAGCAAGTTTATATTAACTAAACTAAAATCTACTTACACATTAATAAATATTTTGTAACAACGTTTGTTTTTAGTTAAAAAAGTTATCACTAATAATAATATTCCTTGAATGAACTTAATTTTCACAACTATATCAACAAACAAACTAAAAACTACTTAAACATTAAGAAGCGTTCATCTTCAAAAAAAGGGAGGATACCACTAAAGTTATGTTATTAATGTATGTAGGTACGTAGTATCGTGCGTCTGTGACTCCTGTAACTATGTAAATGACTGATCAGTCACTGATGGGGTGGCCGCAAGCTAAGAACACGTGTATGCGATTCTTGTCGGAATAAGCCGATTCCGGGGGAACTCCTCCGGAATAGCGGAGTTGGCCGTCAACAGCCAATCATAAAAATGTATTGCTGAGTAAATTAACGGTTTATAATTATTCGTTTAGACAAGTAGGGATCTTAAACCTTAAATCTTAAATCTTGCGATAATAAAAGATTAATAATTCTTGGTAAAAAAAGTTAATTTCATATTTAAATAAACGCAAAGAAATATATTAATAAAAAGAAGACAACTAAATTAATAAAATTAACTTTCCGGGTGAATTAATAACCAATATTCTTTAAATTTATTAAATATGTTAAAATTATAGTATATTGTGCGACTAGTGGGTAAAAGAGGAGATTCCTAGAACGTGAAATGTTCTGCACAAGCGTAGCGAGTGCGGTAACACGCTAGTGGAATCTCCTCTTTTGACCAAGAGTCGCACACAATATTTTATTTAACTACCACAAGGAATTTAAAGCCAATTTTTTTTAGATATTTTATCTAAAAGCTAAGTAAAATTTCGCCCACCGGTTAAGAAATTAAATGGATATTGAATAAAAAATACTAAGATTCAAAATAATAACATTAATAAAATTATTTAAAGAAAATTAATTGAATTACAGAATATATTATATACCTAACATCATATACCTACCTATAGGTAATTAATACTTATATGTATGTATATGTATACTATCCAATTCAATTTGGCTAATATGAAAACCAAAATTTCTAGTAACACAAAATAGCCAAGCTTTAGCTAGTTTGTAAACTAACCAACTAATTCTCTGGCTATTGCCCATTTTAGTTGGATTTTTTGCTCAATGGGGCGGGGGGGGCCCAATGGGGCGGGGTCGGTTGGTTTGTGTTGTTGAGTTTGGGTTGGTTTGGGTTTTTTTCTCTCATTTTTGACCATTTGACCAATGGGGCGGGGTCGGTAGGGTTGTGTTGTTGAGTTTTCTAACAAGGAAGCGTTAAAATTTTGCCTATGATTCATTTTAAAAACGTTAAAATGCACAAAACAAATCCGGTTAAGCCGGCAAAACGAAAAATAATGCCGTAACCTCACTTTTTTAATAAATTAGCCAGATCATTGGTTGGTTAGTTTACAAACTAGCTAAGGCTTGGCTATTTTGTGTTACTAGAAATTTTGGTTTTCATATTAGCTAAACTGAATTGGATAGTATACAAACTATCCAGCTATTTTAGTTTCTCTAATAATTTCAAGTAAATTAGCCAAGATCCTTGGTTATTTTGTAAACTAGCCGCTAATTTAGTTGAAAATATGTTTTCAATTAAAAGTGCGGACAGGTTGGCTAGTTTATAAACTATCCAGCTAGTTTATAAACTATCCAAGTTTGCACATTAGCCATAACATATATATACATATGTATATATTATTATATTATTTTAATTTGTATAGGTACTGGAAGGTTGGGATCTTTCTCATTTTGTGGGTTACGTATGTAAAACATATACTGAATGGCAAAATTGGTTACCCGGTGGTATTTGTGAATAATATTCCTGGCTTCGCCCTTTATACAAAGAATAGATAAATTTATATAAATGATTATTTCCCTCATTATAATATGAACCAATCAAAAGCCTTGAATTTTCGAATAAATTTCGTTTAAATAAGCGATTAAATCACTAGAACTATTTAACAGCGATTAAATTTTAGCTTCCATATTGGATTTTTGTTTAAGATTTTATGGTGTTATTTACAAGTTTTAACAAAGATTTTTTTAAAAACAATAAAAAATAAGTTATCTAGTTTACGAAATATCAATTATTACTTATTACATACCTTAAATTAATGGAATTTTCTTTAAAAAAATATTTATAAATTTTATGAATTGTCAAATAGTTTCCTTTAATTGGAGAAATAATCTAGACGTATAAATTTAATCTGTCAAACTATGCTCAGTAAGTTGTTTATTTGATTTTTCTTTTTGGAAAATAGTTTTATGCAAAATAATTAAAAATATATTAAATTATTTTGCATTCAACATTTTCCAACAAAAACCAAACAAAAAACTACTGAGCCTAGTTAAACCGATTACATTCATAGTTCTCGTGATATAATATATGATTAAAAAATTATGTACGAAACCACAAAATGGCGTAAATTTTAGTACTTATTTAGTATTTTAGTATAACTTTTAGTAGATGTCTACAAAAATTAGCTAGTGTTTACATTTACGTAAAAAATTAATCATATTAATATTTATACTTTTAGTATACTAAATGTAGGCATTTACTATAGTAAATGCCTACATTTACTGTTGGTTGGTTTGTGTGTTGGGTTCGCTTATTATTTTTTCAGAAATTGTCAAATTTTATGACTGAATTGAGAAAAATATGCTTTTTTATAGTAAACATAAAAAGTATGTTTGCCATTTAAAATAAAATGGATGCCATAGAAACAAAATAAATAAAGACAAACTAAAAAACTTAAAACATGCTTGGTAATAAACCAAATAACTTTTATACAAAACTTTTTTTTAACTTTTCAAATAAAAAAGTCAAATCCATTATTTGATACTTTTGTTCCACCCTGTATATATATATAGATGTGGACTATTTCAACTTATTAGACAAGCAGCGTTGCCGAGTGTTATAAACTTAAATGCTTATATGCTTAAGCATTGTCTGGTCGTTGAATTGTTATACGCCTAAAAACACTGTTTTGCAAACGATACAATTTAATTTGCAATATTGCACTGAAAAAAGTCAGTATTAATTTTTAAGTTGTAGGTGAATTTGAGGCCAACCTTTTATTATTTAAAACACTGTCTATAAAAGTTAAGAACCGTAATTAATTTAATGAAACATTCAATATTATTATAATAAGTGTTTCCTAACATTTAACTCATAGAGTATTTGGGTACATGAATTTAATGTAACCCTGCGTGTCTTTATTATTAAGACAATTTTCTTTAGGGTAAATATATAAACATTTATTTTATATTGGAAGTACTTGTTTCTTTATTGTTATGAATTCAGGGATTTCATTAAATAATCAAGCTATTATTGTTATAGGTTATATAGGGATAAAACTATAATGCACAATGAATTTATTTTAACGTTAGTATTCGTTGTTTACGTTCCTTGCAAGCATCAGAAAGAAATCATAACCTATAACAACAAGTTTATTAAGTTGGTATTGCGTCATTGGTACGAGAGCCTCCATGCAGATACTTTGTACGTTTTGTCGGTTTCATAGAACAGTTTTTTGTGTTTATGGTAGAGAACAAATGTCATGTAAGGAGCTACTGGAGGGTTTAGGTCTTGTGCACCTTATTCCCAAATTCGAAGGTAAGAGTTTAGACCTCATGTAAATTAATTTCAATTATTTGGTAGGTACCTATATTCATATTTTATAGATACCAAATAATATAAAAGTTAAATATTAAGTAGTTTACTGTGGGAAAGGTACATTTGTGATAGGTGACTCTTTGTTATTATTTAGAAGAAGCCATTACGCTTGAAGTGCTGCTAGTCCTCGACTCGCAAAGTGTTTGCCAACTTATTTCTAAATTAGGAGAGAGATTTGCAGTCATCAAAAAATTACAGAGTTACTAGATAAGCAGGAGCAATTAATGATCTTTTATTAGCATCAACAGGTAGTATTTTTGTTAACTGTTTTAAAGATGTAGTCAGAGTCGTTCGGCATCGGCCGTATGCGACAGTATTAAATTTCGGCCGATCACGGTGCTCTGACCACAGCCTAAGAGTATTTATTTAGTCCATTTTGTATTTTTATATTCCATAAAATAGGATATAATAAAATTGTTTAAAAATATTATATGCACATTTTATTTCTCATTAATCAAACAAAAAGTATGAAATTCAGGCTATACATTAGTATACATTAGTCAAAATAATTGTATAGTGGAAATGCAAACCGGTGCCAAATCAGCGGATTTTGAGATTTTGTTATTTATGTGGTCTGTACTTTTGTATCAATAAACATTTTTTTGTCTATAGACAAAAAAATGTATACTTAAAAAAAAGTATACTTAAAATTATTAAAATTATTCAAGTGCTAACATATAAATAAATACAATTTTGATAAAACAAAAAAAAATTAATACCCAAGTACATGTCTGCAGATCAAAACAAAATCTCGCAATCCGCTGATTTGGTACTTAGTTTTGCATTTTCACTCTAGAATTATGC